TCCTCAGTGCATCTCCAGGTCTTCAGCCTCAGCTATGCTCTCTGCCAACCCAGCCGTGCTCCCTGGGTTTGGCTTCAGGCTCCCAGCCCACCCTTGCCCTGTGGGGAAGGTCCTCTCTGCTTTTTACCCTCCTGCAGACAGTGCTGTGGCTCTCCTGTTGTGCCTTGGCACATGGGCAGATGGTGCCTTCAGGATGATTAATACTCCCAACCCAGTTTGCCAAGAGCCTATTGATTTTCCAGAAGGGTAACAAATTTTCTCCTTATGTACCAGCACTAAGCCTGACATAATTTGCTGTATAGCAGGAGGGAAATCAGCTTTCAGCATGATTTAGGGAGGGTTGTGTTGTATCCAGATACATACCAATATGATCTTTCTCAAGTGCTGTTACATACTGCCTTAATAATTAATTAGAAATAAATAACATTTATGTACGGCGATAATTTGTAGCTTAGTTAGCAGGGCAGGCTGAATGCCAGGATCAGGTCCTGCTCTGGGTAGAAGGCTCCTGGTGAGCCACAGTGAGCAGGGAGTGACTCTGAGCTCTTCTGCTGCCCAGAGGTCCTTGCAATCACGTGTATGGGCACACAGAGAAGCACCCATGGTGCTGGCACTGCTGATAGATTCACTGATAGATTTGGGAATATCTCCCATCAGAAGAATTTACCGGACGTGATTGCTTGCTTTTTGTCTTAAAGCATTCGGGCTGTGGACAGCCAACAGTACAAGACCAAGAGCTTGCCACCATCAGGAGCTCCTCCTCCTCTTCTCAGGAGGTTCAGCCCTCATATTATGAGCTATGCAAACACCTAACAAAAAGAGTTTGTAATCTCATCTCTTGATCCATCAAATCACAGAATTACAGATTCATACAATATTATGATCTGGAAGGGATGCATAAGGGTCATAGAATGGCTTAGGTTGGAGGGGACCTTAAAGATCATCAAGGTCCAGCCCCTGCCATGGGCTGGCTGCCACCCACCAGCTCAGGCTGCCCAGGGCCCACCCAACTTGGCTTTGAGCACCTCCAGGGATGGGGCATCCACACCTCCCCTGGGCATCCTCTAACACTGCCTCATCACTCTCTGAGTAAAATGTTTCTTCCTAACATCTAACCTAAATCTCCCCTATTTTAGTTTAAAGTCATTCCCCCTTGTCCTGTCACTATCAGACTATCAGGTCCTCCTTCTGTTTGCAAACTCTCAGAAAGATCATAAAATCCAACTCCTGCCTTCGCACAGAACCACCCAAAATTCAAATCATACCTGAGAGCATTGTCCAAACACCCCATGAACTCTGACAGGCTCAGGTGTCCCAGCATCCCCTCACAGGAGAGCTGCTCATTCCCTTGATCATCTTGATGGTTCTCCATTGGACTGTCTCCATATGCCCATGTGCAGTGGGGCGCAGGAGTGAACATCATACTCCACAATATTCTCTTTCTTACCAGAATATTCATTTTAATATCTGTCTACTTATAAAGCCAAGTCTATCTAGTGATGGCAATCAAGGTGTCTGGGTTGTAGAAGAGAAAAATAACGAGTATGGTTTGGAGATGCTGAATGCCACTCATTGCTGAGCCCTCTGCTTGGGCCTCGGCTGGGTGCTCATGAACCTTGTGAAAGCTGGAGCACTGGTGTGACATGGCAGGGGCTGATCAGTTTTTGTGGGACTTAAGCTCAGTTGTGTGGGAAGAAGCCAGAGTGCTCTTTCCTGTGGAACTGGGGTGAAAAAAAAGGTCTGAGCATCCTCTCTCATGTTTCAGAGCACCATCAAATGCTGGCAATTTAGTACTAATATACCGTGTTAACAGCAGGTCACTGGAAATGTACCTGGACCCATCATCATTTTTAATAGCTGAGGAGTGCTTCTGTGCAACATTATTTTAAATTTACCCTCCTGAAGAAAACTGGTAGTCAGAGAGCCTTCCGAAAGATGCATTTTTATTAGCTCGCTCTTCTCCATATGGCTGCTGATAAATGTTTATGTAGACTCTTCCTGCCAAAGGCTTTAAAAACAGCCACATTTCATTTCCTTCCAGGGGTAAGTGGTGGCAAGCACTAGTCAGTGATGGACTGGGCAGTGGCAGGCAAACCCTGCAGTGTCTTCCCATGGTGGTGAGGGAGCATCGCTCAGCCCACAAGCACAGAGGCAGGGCATGGGGAAGAACCTGAGAGAGATGGGGCTGCTCAGCCTGGAGCAGAAAAGGCTCTGGGAAGACCTGATAGTGGTCTTTCAGTAAGAAAAGTGAGGCTGTAAGAAAGAAGAGAACAGACTCTTCAGCAGGGTCTGTTGTGATAGGGCAAGGAGAAATGGTTTCAAATGAAAGGAGGGCAGATTTAGACAGGATATAAAGAAGAAGTTTTTTACAGTAAGGGTGGTGAAGCATTGGCACAGGTTGCCCAGAGAGGTGGTGGATGCTCCATCCCTGCAGATACTCAGGGTCAGGGTGGACCCAGGGCTCTGAGCACTGCTGGAGCTGTAGGTGTCCCTGCTCATTGCAGGGAGTTGAACTAGATGGCCTTTAAGGGTTCCTTCCAGATCATATGATTTTATGATTCTATGGTCTATATAAATATATATGTGTGTTGATGATGCATGTCTGTGAGCATGGGAGAACACACTCAGCCTCACTGACAGCTGGACCTGGGACAGAGAGTTGCAGCAGCCTCACCTCTGTTGGGCTGCTGGATTCAGCAGGCTGTAACAACAGACTCTCTTGGGTAGCAGCTGGGTTTGAGCCAAGGGTGGACGATCTCTGCAAAGACCCCGGATGACTGAGAGAAAGGATTTGAAGAAAGAAGATTGTTCTTCATAATGCCTTCAGGCTTGCAAACTTTCTTTCGAATTTGGATGATGATTGGCAGCTAAATCCCCCTTAGCGCTGAGGCACATCCGCCTTGTGACAGCCTGGCTCAGACACACCTGAGCTAACAGAGTTGCTCCCAATTGCACTGAACTACTCAGAAACCAGTCAGTGGTGATTCACGGATCGGATGTGCCTCTACCAGTCTGTGTCCCAACAGGCACAGCCCGAGGGGTGTGCAGACAGTCACCCCAAATGGGGTCTCACTGACACAGGAGGCAGCTGGCAGACAGCATCTGTTTGGGAACTGAGCACAGAGTTCAAGCTCTGCTCTGCAGAAGAGTAATGTCTTGAATGCCTCTTGGCCAACAAGTCCTGCCTCCACCCCTCCCCATTGTGAAATACCAGATCAATCAGATACAGCATAAAGGGCAGCGAGAGGCTGAAAACAGTGGGACTGAAAAAGGCCACTGGTGTGAACCCTTGGTGTGAGACTGCAGTGTCAGCTGACTGCCACATCAGCAGAGCAAAAGGAGTTTTAGTGAGGCACGTGCCCACGGGCAGCAATGAAGCTGAACAAGGAGGATTTAAGGCCTTAATGTTTCTTACAATTTAGTTTTGGCAAATAAAGTTCCAGTCCTTCTGCCTTTTTATGTGCTCCTCTAAGCTGCTTTGAGGGAATACCACAATCCAGCGCCTTATTTCCATCAAAACACAATAACAAAGTACAGGCTCTTGTCTCAGTCTGTCATTCTGGGAGTGATTGAGTAGAAACACTCTAAGCTGATGAATTATTTAAAATAGACGCTGTACGTCTCAGGCAATGAATTCAATTAAATGGCAAAACATTATTATGAAGAAGACTGAGACAAAAGCCGAAGAGAATCTGTTTTCATAAAATATAGCACGCTTCCCAGTTCATTGTAATTTTGAGTAAATAGACGAATTAGCAGGTAGACTGATAGATGGGCTACTAGAAAGGCCCAATATTTACACAGGAAATTAATATTAAATAGAGAATGGTCTTGCTAAGGAAGACGTATTGCCCTCCTTCCAGTCCATTCCAGAAACAAGCAATGAGCAGCCTACCAACAGGAGATAACATACAGGCTTCTTGTTATTTCAAACAGCTTCTTTCCATGGCCCTGCACTGTGCATGTGTGTTTTCAATATGTCACTCTGCAGGTGAAAAAAAACTATCTTTGCACTGAAAATGGAAAATTGCTCTCACATATTGCCTTATTAGTGCTGTGTGGTCATTTTACTTCGTTTCGTGCCTTCCTTCTTTTTCCTTCTTCCTTCTTTCTTTTGAAAGACATCATTTATTTGTGCAATTGTTTCACTGACATCGCAAATAAGCTCCCATTTAATTGCAATGCATAGCATCCTACTCACATATTACAGTTTAAACGTACCCTGCTGTTTTAATTGGACGTACGTCTTAACCTGTTGTGGGGAAGAAAGTATTTATCTTTGAAATAGCCCTGTTGAATGATATATGGACATTCAGTTAATTTCATAGAATCGTTAAATGGCTTGGGTTGGAAGGGACCTTAAAGATCATCCAGTTCCAACTCCCTGCTAAAGGCAAGATTGCCAGCCACCAGCTCAGGCTGCCCAGGGCCCACCCAACCTGGCCTTGAACACCTCCAGGGATGGGGCACCCACAGCTCCTCTGGGCAGCAGTGGCAGTGCCTCATCACCCTCTGAGTAAAGAATTTCTTCCTAATATCTAACCTAAATCTCCCCACTTTTAGTTAAAGTATTCCCCTTTGTCCTATCACTATTTGGCAGTTTAAAAAGTCATTCCCTCCTGTTATAAGCTCCCTTTAGGTATTGGAAGGCTGCCATGAAGTCTCCCCAAAGGCTTTTCTTCTTTGAGCTGAACAAACCCATCTCCCTCACTCCCTCAACTTTTCTTCATAGCAGAGGTACTGCAGCCCTCTGATCATCTTCATGGCCCTCCTCTGGACCTGCTCCAACAGCTCTGTGTCTTCCTTGTGCTGGGGGCCCCAGGCCTGGACACAGCACTCAGATGGGGCTTCACAAGAGCAGAGCAGAGGGAAACGGTCCTGTCTGTCTCCCTATTGGCTGCCCCTCTTTTGTTGCAGCCCAGGATACCGTTGGCCTTCTGGGCTGCAGAAGCACACTGCTGGTTTGTGTCCAGCTTTTCATCCACCAGAACCCCCACGTCCTTCTCCTCAGCAGTGCTCTCAATGAGTTCTTCTCTCAGTCTGTACCCATACCTGGGATTGCTCCGACCGAAGTGCAGCACCTTGCACTTGGCCTTGTTGAACCTCATTATGTTCACACAGGCCCACTTTTCAAATCTGTCCAGGTCCCTCTGGATGCCTCCCTTCCTTCTGTTTTATCAGCTGCACCACTCTGCTTGGTGTCTTCATCAAATATAATGAGGATACTCTTGATCCCACTGCCTAGGTCACTGATAAAGGTGCTGAAGGGCACCACCCAAAGATGGACCCCAGAGGGACACCACTTGTGACTCACTTCCCCTTGGACACAGAGCCATTGACCAGCTACTCTTTTCTTGAGCAAAGCACTCTTCTCAAGAAAAAACTTGTTTTCTTGGATTGAAAACAGATTCTCATCAACATGCTGACCCGTATCCTACTAAGAACAGGCAGTGTAACTTGAGATTCACCAAAGTGGTTGTGCTTTCCAAACAGTGGGAGCAGACAGTGCTTACCATCTTTGCAAAGCGGTCTTTCTCCAGATTAACACCCTACATCAGAAGCACGAGACCTGTGTTCTTCAGCCTACCTGCAGTCTAATCCTCCTCACCCACACATACACATATAAAATGGAAATAACAATTTAAACCTATCTACATAAATACAGCTCTTTGAAATGCATTAATGTATGTCGTTACCTGAATCTGTAGAGCACTTATGCACAGAACACACATCCAAGGAGGAAAGGGGAAAATGGTTTTAAATTTGTGTACAATATCAAGTTGCATAGAGGGGATTATTACAGAGTGGAAGAAATTGAGGTGAAAAATTGTCTCCAGAGGGAAAAGGGTGAAGAAAATGAATAAAGAAAAACAGGAACTCCATGTAGTAGATGGTTCACACTTACTTTAGGCAACAATTTAAGTTTCTCAGTTTGGAAAATGGAAGTAACACTTTTTTTATCACCAAGAAATGGATTCGTAATTCAAGTTGAATAGAGCTCAGAGATTCTTTGGAAATGTAAAGCATCATCCTTAAAACATTTGTTACTCAAATCTACTACTAAAAAGTAGCAGCAACCCACTCAATAATACCTGGCCAACTCTGGTATTTCTATACATGTTACTATCAATAGACAGATGTTGGTGGGAAGTATGGGCAAGAAAAATATGAAGTGTGTATTTTACTAGGTCTGTAATCTGGGAAAACTAGTTTGCTAAGGGTATAGCTGCAGGTTGCATAATCAGTGAAACATTTTGTGTTTAGTCTTGTTTTCCCCTGGGAAACTTTAGACAAGCTGCTGAGTGATGAAACCACCACTAGGTAAGTCAGCAAAAGAAAGTATTGCACTTCCACATTCTCCTGGTTCACAACAGTTACGCTCAATTAGCCCTGTCCCTTTATCAGGAGTTTACCTTTGAACTTTTTTATGTTCATTTCCTGTTATAGCATCTGTCTCCAAATCCCATAGTTACATTATCTTTTATCTCCCAGACTTGCACCTTTAATGTCAGTCTGTAAATCAGTTCCTTGGGCTGGCAGCAAACAGTGCTTCGGAGAAGGGAAGAGCATGGAGATGCACTCAAAGTCTTTCCATCTTGCCTCATCTTTGTGCTTCCCTGAGATTCTCTGCTTAGGTTGACAGCATGTTTTAGTCTCTTTCCAAATTGTCAATGACTTGCAAAGCAGAGAGTGTAGATGTCAGCATTCCTTTTACTTCATGTTTTCAGCCTGCAAGTGCTAAGGAAAGGTAGGAAGATTTAAGACACGCTCAAACCATGGAGACTTCTAAAGAATTTTAGACACTGAAGTCAGGTCTCTTTGCCTCTCTCATTTTAAGGTAAGAATTCCGTTAAGAAAAGGATCTTAACTCAGACCCAGGCTGCTTTATCCCAGTTCCTTGGGTAAACTGTTTTACCTGTGCCTGAAGAAGTACATAGCACTGCCTTCGTTGCACTCTATACTATATATTGTATCCCTAGTGCATTTATGGAACCAAGCCAGGTCAGATCTGTGAATGAATCCTGCGAAAAGTTAGACCTGTTCTGCCAGTCAGAAAGCCATTCCTATTAGAACAGCAGACTACTGGATACATGTGTATGTGAGTGTCTGTGTAGTGACTCTATTCCCTAAGGGCATTCTTCAAAGAAGCGTATGGAAGGGAGTGCACACTAGTAAACCTTCTCAGCACAGCTGCTTGCCACCAAAGGAAGTCATGATTACCAGGAAGTAATGATTAGATTCACTGACCTCCATGCACTCATGATTGTCCCAGTCTGTATATATCTCCCTTGACCAAGACAACTCTGTGAAGAACTGTAGCTTGTTCATTTCCATTTTTTAAGACTGGTGCTCAGCTCAAACCTGGAATTGTATTCTTCAGCCTGCTTTGGAATAGGAAACAAATCCAACTTTTCAAGTGAGAGACTTTGCAGACTTTCCATCCACATAAATGTTTTTTCCATCTTGTACCATAAAAGCCCTTACAGCACCCATACAACATCATCGAAGACATCTACTCACTCTTCCACATAATGAAAACTAAAAACAAAATAGTATTTGTGCCTCTTACAAAATTTGGCAGGACCTTTGGCGCTTCTTTCTCCTCTTTTTCTCATTTAATGCACATTGGCTAATTATCTCCAGGGCGGTATCAACACCTTCTTTTGTCTTGGCAGAACACTCCAGGTAAGCATATGCCCCAATCCTGGCAGCTAAAGCTTTTCCTTTTACAGTGTTAATCGGCTCATAGCCTTGAGCAGCTAATTTCTTTCTGATACCTTCATCATCCCTCAGTTCAATCTTGGTAGCCACCAAAATAATAGGAACCGTGGGGCAAAACAGTTTGATTTCTGGAACCCAAAAGTCAAGGACGTTTTGCTGCGAGTCAGGCCTGTCCACTGAGAAACATATTAAAATAATGTTGGTGTCCTCATAGAACACTGAGCGGAGATTTCGGTAACTGGCTTCATCTTTTTCTGACACGTCAAACAGAAATAGTTTCATCTCCTTCCCATCTTCCTCTATGTCAGTGGCATACGTGTCAAACAGGGTTGGCTCGTAGAATGTGGGGAGCTGATTGTGACACAGAGCGAAGAGGAGGCACGTCTTACCAGAGCAGTCATCTCCAACTACAGTAAGCTTTCTCCTAGCAGCAGCCATTCCTTCAAAACAAAGATGAAGTACAAAACGAGTTATTCTTCTTTTGTGGATGGTAGAAGAGCAGAGGAAATCCCATTAGTTTGGAATTCTTTCCCTCCTCTCCTTTTTTTCTTTCTATACTTCTGTCTTACCCTTGTTTCCTGATTTTTGTCCTTTTCATTTCTCTAGCATTAGAATCTTCTGAAACTGGGAGCACTTTGCTTTCAATTTTTATTATACATCCAAAAATGAATGTGTAAACCAAGTTGGGCATTACAAGATTCCTGCAGTGTCCTATATTTTTGTTTTATCATCTCAAGCATTATTTATGGTCAATATTCAGATCATAACAGATTTCATTTTCTACACTGAATTTTGTGAGTGAAATGGAGCATAGAACACTGTACTGAACATCTATCCAAATTGTCTACACTTTTCCTGCCATTGTCTGCTGGTGGGTTACTACCACTGGTGACAGCTATCCTGCATAAATCCATGCTGCTTTTGCTCATAGATTAGCTGTCATATGGGAGTTAAGAAAGTGTTTTCTCTCTTAATATATTCATGGACATTTTACATGAGATAGAAGTTTTAGACTTACAGGAAAGTTTTAGATTTCCAGCATCAATCTTCTCTGTCTTGATATTCCGTATGAGACTGGTTTCTTCAAATATTGTTGCTGCATCACCTTCGTTAGGTCATTGTTTCTGCCCTACACAGAACTTACCACCGCTCTTCAAATACTGTCACAGTGAACACTGTATTTAAAGGGATGGGTTGATGTTTCTTAATATGGCCAACCAATCAGCAAAGAGAACCCGATGACACTGTTTTTTAAAGAATCTTACTTTACTGGTAACAAAGTGGAAGTTACACAATTCACGAACACATCATAGCATGTTCGCTTTAGCAGTTTCCTCATTCTTGTTGCAAAAGACTCATCCTGAATGAGCATTTCAGTATTAAGTCTGCCAAACTGCTTTGAAGGTCTGGGGATGATGGTACTAGAGAGTAAAAGAGGAGATCTGTCAGCCAGACCCTCAGGACCCTCAGATTTTCAGATCTGCTGAGGCATGCCACAGTAATGAACTGCAGAATCAAAAAAGGGATGAGGTGGGATTTCTGGAGATGATCTGGTCCATCATTGTGCTCCACCAGGGTTGAGTTTTGAATACTGACAAGGAAGGAGAGACAGTCTCTCTGGGCAGCCATTTCCAGTGTTTTATCATCCTCAAAACAGCAAAATGAGATATATCATCTGGATTGTCTAAAGGGAAAGAACTGTTTAGTGTTATGGATATAATCTTGGACCCTAAAGAGGAAACTGAACTCCCTGATACCTTGTGAGCATTGGACAAGTCATTTCTCCTATATTCTCTCAGTTAGGTAGGCAAAGACTGCAAGGTGTTTGCATCCACTGAAAACTGAGAACAAAGGGAACCGGAGATGGATTCATTTGGTCTCTCTGCAGAGAGAACTGTTTGCAGAGGCATTACTGGTGATGCAGATATTTAACTACTGATGCACAGTTATATATCATCACATTTATATCTTAGAGCAACAGACAAGTTCATCAACTGAGGGTGACTTTTTAATTATTATTATTTGAGAGAATGGAGACCAGAAGGCCATCAGTTTTCTATGGTGGTCTAATTTTACTCTGCCAGATAATATTTCCTGTGTTCCATTCAAGTAAAAATCTGATAATCTTGTCAGAGAAACTTGGCAAAATGGAAGTCATTCGATTCTGGCATCTTTACTTACATCCTAGAAGAGCAATGCCAGTGGGTCCTGCAGAGTTCTTTTGGATGATAAAGGCATTTCCTGTTTGGGATGATGTGTTTTCACTTGTGTTTCCCTTTTACCCTAAGCAAAAATGCACAGGTCTTCACTTTCTCTTTTTGTGCCTTGGCATTCCAGTTTCTAGGTAGATCAGCCTGGCCTCCTGACTGACTGCACTGATTACAGAGGAATCTGAGAGTTAAATCCAGGTTTTCAGCAGGGACATTAGAAAGCAATGAACTTGCTTTGACTTGCAACGAGTCAAATGCTAGACTGTGCACTGCTCACATTTAACAAGCTCTTACTTCCCTCCCTTCACTAAGAAGCTTTGCATGAGGACTGCAGGATGCTTGTTGCTAGTGTTACAGTACAAGTCAGTGTGCAGGACTCAGTATGCCATTACTGGCACATACAGCTCCCTCAGTGTGTTATGCCACAGCAGGCAATGTACTTACTTGCTTACTTATTGACAAAAAGGAGAAAGATCACCTTCCCCACAGAGCTTTCATGCTTTTGGTGCAGATTTATACATGAACATAAATTATCTGTGTTACAGACATGCCATTTAGAAAATCTGTTTAGCAGAAAGAACAGGGAGGAGGCATATAATCTGGAAACAATCTCCAGTAACTAACTGAAATTGTCTTCTCAACAATGAAAAAATGCCAATTGGTTTAGATCAAGTAAAAATCTAAAAGGCTGAGTTTTAATCTCAAAACCACTGCACAAGTAATAAAAGCAAAGATGTGGTGTCTTTTTTCTCTTGCTCATGCTTTCTTCATCAGTCATACAGATGTATGTGGTGCAGCAGAACTAATAAATTCTCTGCTTAGAGACTGTGCATTAGGGGATTACTGGAAGGGAAGTTTCAGTTTGCTTTAAGAAGTATAGCTGAGCATATCATGCAAATTTGATCAGGAAATGTAAAAATTACAACATAGAGTGGTTACACTTCTTGGAGCCTTCCAGACCACAGCTATGCTTGAATGCAAAATTGGTCCTGTAAAACAAAATCTTAGGTGAGAAGAAAGCCCAGAGCCTATTCTCATATTTTTCTTTCCAGGTTTTCCATCTCTGCTCTCTGTACATACTCAGAGAAAGAAGCCTAAGTACTTCAGCAGGTTATTATCCTCTGTGTTCAGTCCCAGGATTGCTGCAGTTCTGTTGCACTCACAGCACTGCAACACTGTTCAGATTCCCATTTTCCCTGGTCTAAGCAGGTGAAAGGGAAGGATTCCTATGTACAGTTCTGCTTCTGATCTCCACTGTTCTCAGAACTGATTCTTTTCAGGCTTTTATGTGAGCTGAAAAGAGGATTCTCCAGAGAAGAGAAGCATATATAACTGAAAAAAAAAAAAAAAAATTAAGGCCTCCTTGCTCCCACTTAGCTCAGTGCACGTACTACACAGCTTCCTGCAACTTCAGTGCAAAATCAATCTGGGGAAAGTGATGATGAGGCTTTCTGACATTTATGGGCAGAATCCACTGCAGTGGAAAGGTAGCAAATTTACACTAATTATGAAGCCCAGGCCATTATTAAGGTATTAAGCATTTAAGTCTTAATTAGGGCCCATTGGCTTCAGTGTTGGAAGAGTTTACTAGTGAATGAAATAAGTTCCAGTAACTGAGTACTGGAACTGTGTCTGCAATTAGAAGAACCCCTGCTGTGGGTATGACTTGGGTTAATCAGACCTTTTCAGAACATTTCCTGAGCCCAGCTTTGAAGCTGAGATGAGCAGACTGTTTGGATAAGGCCACCCTGTCTTGAAGTCTACCAGAGTTAAGGGGTATGCATGAGGGCTGCTTCAGTTTGCTTTCTGCACACTAAGGCACACAGATAATTGCTAGCAGCACTCCCAGTGAACAACAGAGCCATGTGCTTTGATATGAATAAGCTACCTATTTCCCTACCTTTCATGGCACAGCACAGAGGAGATGATCAGCATAACTACCCATTCGGGTGGCTCTTTTTTTCTGTTTAATGAAGCGCTGTGCTGACGAAAAGACATCAGATATTCAGCCACGACTCCTCATGCAACCCAAAAGTCAAATCACAGATTCATCACAGAATCGTTTGAGTTGGAAGGCAGCATTAAAGGTCATCTAGTCCAATTTCCCTGCAGAGAACAGGAAATAAAAAGGAATAAAAATAAAACCGAATTCAAAAGCATCTTTAAGCAGCACCTCCCACGAGCTTCAAGGCACCCGCAGCTTCTCCTGCAGCCGCCTGGGAGGCAGGCCGGGCTCGGCAGCTCCTGAGCAGCGGGGACGGCGGGCATCCCTGGAGGCACAGCGGCCACCAGGGGGCACCAAACTCCGGCGAACCGAACCACCGCCGCTTCCGAAGAGAGTAACTGGAAGGCAGCAAAACGCACGAAGATTTGCATTATTCAGCAAATGAACTACGCTTGTCCGTTAAAAAGGTTGTACATGCTTGTGATATTATAGAGAAAATAGTTACATGCTGCTTGTGCTTCATCATAGAATCACAGAATCATAGAATTGCTCAGGTTGGAAAAGATGTTAAAGATCATTCAGTCCAACCACAACCTCACCATACCATCCTAACTCTAGCAACCCTCTGCTAAATCATGTCCCTGAGCACCACATCCAAACGGATTTTGGACACATTCAGGAATGGTGACTCAACCATCTCGCTGAGGAGCCTATTGCAGTGCTTAACAACCCTCTCTGTAAAGAAATTTTTCCTGATATCCAACCTAAACTTACCCTGGTGCAACTTGAAGCCATTTCCCCTCGTCCTGTCACCTGTCACTGGTGAGAAGAGACCAACCCTGCTCTGCTGTAAGCACCTTCCAGATATTGGAAGAGAGCAATAAGGTCTCCCCTCAGCCTCCTTCTCCCCAGACTAAGCAGCCCCCATTCCTTCAGTTGCTCCTCATGAAAAGGACATGCCAGCACGGGAAAGAAGACTTCAATGCAGATCACTTCTTTAGGGTTTGGGAAAAGTTTGCAACTGAGAGCAGTGATAATAAAAGTAAAGGGATGATGAAAATCAGAAATGGAGCCTGTTGACAGTCCAGAGGTATCTGAAAACACCGAGACTGTGGCCACACTTTCAGTCTTTTTTCAAACATTGGTTTGAATTTATTAGGTTCACTTTGCATGAAAGGTGCTGTACAAAGATGAGGTGCGCATCCATCCATCTGCAAATAGAGATGCCCTTCTGACAGGAGGAATGGGAATTACAAAAAATCTCAGAGGGGATGAATTACATTTCAGCGCTCAGGGTTAAGCGAACCATTTGCCCTATTAACACGTCCTCCATAACGCTCCACTGAAAGTCACAAGCTAAGCAATTTGATTTCCTCAACGGCATGTTTGGTCTTAAATACAATTCTCAACAGCAAACACAGCGTTCAAATCACTCATTTTTCTTCTTTCGCTGTCGAGCAAAAGGATTCGGACCCAGCCCTGAGCAGCAAGCTTTTCTTTTAAGTGCTGGGAGACAACACCCAGCCAACAGCGATGGCTGCAGGGCCGGCGGTACCAGCAATGCCAGGCGGTGCGAGCTGTGCGAGCCATCTGCTCGTGCTGAGCCACTCCGGAGCCCCTCAGGAGCAGGGCTGCCTTCGGGAACAGCGCGTCGGGGTCTGCCCTGCCGCAGAGCCCCCGTGGGAGCCCGGCACACAGCTCCCAGCCCTGCTCCCCAGCTCCTCAGTCCCACAGCCCTGCCGCAGCCCTGCCTCACAACCCGCACCCCCAGCGCACCCCCGGCCCGCCCTCAGCCGCCCCTCAGCTCGGGGCCCCTCGACCCCGCCGCGCGCCCCCTCCTTCCTCGCGCCCCGCCTCCCGCCCGCAGGGCTGGCCAATCGTGACGCTCTCCGCCGAGGATGACCTCACTCCCTGCGTTCCCATTGGCTGGCTATATTAGGAAAGTCGGAGAGCCTTTAAATAGCGGCGCCGGCGTTCTGCTTGCGGCAGTGGCGGCGCGGAGGAGTGCGGGGCGGTTCTCTTTCTTGCAGCCGGGCCGGCAGCTGCGGCGGTTCCCTCGCGAAGAGTTGGACTGAGCCGGGCGGGACCGACAGCCGAAGCGTGTCCCCGAGGGAGGGGACGGAGACGCGGTACCAGCTCGGGGAGCCTGCCTGCGCGGGCCCGGCTCGCCACGGTGCCCTGTGAGAAACGAGAAGAAGCGGGAGGCGGCGGCCGCGGGGAGGAGGGCCCTGCCATCGTCCTGCTGCACGGCAAGGCCAGCTTGGCGAGTCTGGCCATGGCCGCCATCCGCAAGAAGCTGGTGGTGGTGGGGGACGGCGCCTGTGGCAAGACCTGCCTCCTCATCGTCTTCAGCAAGGACGAGTTCCCTGAGGTTTACGTGCCTACCGTCTTCGAGAACTACGTGGCCGACATCGAGGTGGACGGCAAGCAGGTGGAGCTGGCCCTGTGGGACACGGCCGGCCAGGAGGACTACGACCGCCTGCGCCCTCTCTCTTACCCAGACACGGACGTGATCCTCATGTGCTTCTCAGTGGACAGCCCGGACTCGCTGGAGAACATCCCGGAGAAGTGGGTGCCCGAAGTCAAGCACTTCTGCCCCAACGTCCCCATCATCCTGGTGGCCAACAAGAAAGACCTGCGCAACGACGAGCACGTGCGTAACGAGCTGGCCCGCATGAAGCAGGAGCCGGTGCGCACTGAGGATGGCCGCGCCATGGCCATCCGCATCCAGGCCTACGACTACCTGGAGTGCTCGGCCAAGACCAAGGAGGGTGTCAGGGAGGTCTTTGAAACCGCCACCCGGGCGGCCTTGCAGAAGCGCTACGGCACTCAGAACGGCTGCATCAATTGCTGCAAGGTTCTATAGGGCGCGGCTGGAGCGCGGCGCTGGGCACGGCGCCTGATCACCTGTTGGCAGGCGGAGCGGAGCTGGGGCATGCATGCACACAGCATCTGCCTGTCCCCTCAGCTAGGGGTTGGCAGGGAATGGGGGTGGGGACTAAGGGAGGGGGCACGCTCCCTTAGCCGAAAAGGGTTGTGCTGGCTCAGCCGCGGGGACGGAGGGAGGGGGGGAGGGTTGCATGCCCTGAGTCTTGGGAATCGGGTAGGGAGAAGCATTCTCCCACCACTGGCCCCTTCAAGTTGATTGACTCTCAACAAGAAGCTGCTGAGACTGGACTGAGCAAACACTGCACCCAGCTCTTCGCCTGCACCCACCATCTGCGGCTCCCGGCTCCCAGGCAGCCTCCTCTCTTTTGCAGGAGGAGAGTGGTGGAGCTGAGATGCTCGAAGGGACTTCTGCCTCCTGTGTGCATGTGCCTCCCCCCAGGTGAGCTGGGGAACAGGCTGCCTCTTTTGGGCTGCTTGAAGCATCCTGGTGTCTCCTGCAGGTGTTCTGGCTTGAACCTGACCTGCCATCAAAGTTGGCCCTGAAGACCTGGACTGGGAGTGGAGGCTCATCCCAAGCAAAGCCTGTATATATCTTACTTTCCTGTCTTGTGCAAACTGGGGTAGTGCAGGGGTGCTTATTTAAAGTGAGATGGGGAGGGGGTGCCCAGCTGGGACTTCAGTGTGCAAAGGAGCACTTTGGCATGACTAATGCCTGCTGGTGACACGAGCCTTGAATTGTCTCCAGCTGCAGAAGCCACCGGGCTGGGAAGTAAAGCTGGGCTGCTCCATCCTCCTTGCTGAATGTCCTCTGGATGGGGCAGGGTGAGTGAGGGGGGTGGAGCGACATTGCCATATTATGATCTTGGTGCCTGCTCCTTCATTTCATGTTGTCTTCTGCAAATGCATTGATTTGGATTTATTTAAAAGTTTGTTTTGAAATGAAATGACTTTGCACAACTTGGATTTTTTTTAAATACTCAATGTGCTTGTATCTACATCCAACACTGCAGCATTGGAAACGTTCTTACTCAGTAACCTCATCTGGGCCTTGTTGTAAATTGTGACTTCAGCACGAGTAATTAAAATCACTGTATCTCTTTTGCCTTGGAAAAAGATGAAAACACTGTTCCTTACGCATTGAGTACATCAGACTTTAATACTAAAGGGAAGATTAAAGAATTTAGGTTTATTTAAAACTTATTTTCACTGGGTAGCAGACCCAGGTGAAAATAATACTGCGTTTCTCTGGTTCAGAGAACAAATTTACCCGTTTGTTTGTTTCCTTCCTGTCCTTCCCTTAATGGTGGTACTGAGACTGTTTTTTTGTTTTTAAGAATTTGCCATGGCGAGAACTGAGATGTATATGATGTTTACATAAAAACTATGAACTGTGTATGCAGTTTTTTATGTAAAGTATTAAAAGCTTCTATGCTGACTTAAGAGAAAGTGGTGTTGTGATTTCCAGGGCTGCCCTCAGTGGGGCTGGAGCAGTTTCAGGAAGGCACTCCAATGCTTATGAGCTAGGTGAGTTTGCCCTGTGCTGATACTGGTGTTTTCTCCACTGGTTGACAGTACCTTTTGGGCAGCTTTCAGGGCCATGGGTGTTTTGTTTCCCTTTTGGAAATCCTACAATCAGTTTTTTTGGTCCTAAAACATCTTTTGGTTAAAGAAGAGTTAAATCCCTCAATTTGTAGTGTTTCAAGGGCTACTGTCATAGTATCATGGTATCGTACAGTATTCTGAGTTGGGGAGGACCTTTCAAAAGGGTCGTACAGAGCTCTGAAGCCAGGTCTTACACAGCCTAATGTTCCATGCAATGCCAGTAAGGGCTATTAAAATCAGCATGGGGAACCTTTGCCTTAAACCAGTTGCAACAGCTGCAAAGTCTGCAAGCTCATTAGGCTGCAGTGATAAGACATCTTCTCAACATCCCCAAAGAGAAAACATTAATATTTGTATTTTAAACACTAGGAAATGACTTAGCATTGCCTCTCTGTATGATTAGCTCTACCAGTATTTTCCACTGAGGTGCTTACAAGGTAATTACATTCATTATTTCAAATTGGACTTCTGCCCAAGTTAAGGCTACACAATCTTGCCTGGGGGGGAGAAAACTAAGAAAGCACATCTCAGCTGTAACTGAGCGTGAGCTCCCTGTGCTGCTTGTGGAGCTGTAAGAGAGGGGAGGTAGTCCTGTAGCAATCCACCCGTGGGGTCAGGGCTCGGGATCCATTAGCCATGCAAGGTGTGTCTCATCCCACCGGCCCTGACTCAGCCCTGCTGAGGTGACCAGGCCTCAGGGCTGGGCTGGACTTTGGTGTGAGCCAAAGCAGGGGCCCAAGCCTAGGACAGGCTGACTCGCACTTTGCATTCAGACAACAGACTGGTTTCACATGGACCCTAGCTTGTCTTCAGCCTGATCATCCACCCCATGTCCACATGCTCCCACAGCTTGTCTTCTGGAGGGCAGGACAAAGGCAGCAATTAGTGAAGGCACCAGAAGGAGCTCCACAGCCGACTCTTCACACGCTCCCTGTGTGCTCAGAGGTGCTCTCTGCCATGTCCACAGGCCCATGCGACATCCCAAGCTGAGGAAAGGTTGCACCCTCCTTCACCTTCTTCAGGCCAAGGTCAGCATCTGCAAAAGGGGTTTCTTCTGGCAGAAGCTCCCCTGGGGAATTTGCCCCGTGGCGATACCAGCACATCATTAGCAGCAAATCCTGGAAATGGTTCTACGACTGTACCATTCTTCCCTTGTTGGAAATACACCAACAGCAGCTGTAGTCCTTATGTCACGTGGAGACTTCAGTTAGAAAGCATTCTCAGTAGGGTGTGCCAAAACGTGACAAGTCATCTTTGGTGGAGGAAAGCAGTCAGTGAAAATCCCGAGTGGTTTTGGCAGAAGGGGTTGTAATGCCTTTTAATGCCCTGAACTGAAACACTCCCCATACAGCAGTGGGGTTGCATGAGTGTAAGTGGGAGCAGAATTTGAAGCCATACCTTCTTATGTAGCTTCTTGGTTTTGCAGCAGTAATGTAATGTAGCTCCACGTGCCTTACAGTGCGTGGAGTTGCTTTCAAGTCTGGTTTAGCAACTCAGCAAAGAGTGGACACAGATTCCCTGTAATAAGAGGGGAAAAAAAAGTACTTTGAAGACGATTTACTAATTGGTCACCAACTGTACTTCCCTCATGGGTTTTATTCCTCCAATGCAGAAAATAAACTAAAAACAAAAAGCCCAATTTTGTCTTTCAGATTATAGTGAGCTGCAGCATGAACGCAGCCAGTTCTTTCTTGGTTGTGCTGCTGGTTTTGTACCACCAGGGATAGAAACTGCACTAGCAGCCCACTGAGCTGAGCTGCTGGAAGGATGGAGGACAAGGCACGAGTGGGACTCGTTACAACTGGGCCGACCACTCCGCATCAGGGTGAGGAAGTTTCTGAGGATGTCTGCATCCACAGCATCACGAGCCCAGCTGCAGCTTGTGTAAAATCTCCGTTCCCATTAAAGGGGACAAAGAGGGTGGGATTTTACCATAAACGCTCTATTCCGTTGCTTTCAGGCCATTCATCCTCATCCGCATTCAAGGGCTAGAGGGAGGAATTTGGAAACAAAGTGGGTTTCCTGGTGGGCTCATTTGCACGATAATGTCCCTTTCCCTGGGAAGGGGAGGGCAGTGGAAGCCTGGGGACCCCGGGGGGCCCTGGATGAGCCTTTTCTCCTGTTCCCAAGCTTTTGTGCTGTGATTTTTTGTTTGTTTGTTTTAGGTTCTGTATCCAAGGAGCTTTGATCGTGTAGTTCTTGCTGCGTGGGGCTCTTCTTGCTGCACAATTTGGGGTGGCACAACCAGGTCCTGCTGCACAGCCTTCTCTGGGGCAGCCTGACCTGCCTGGTGGCAGCTGCTCTTCTCCTCGCATGGAAAGAAAGTGAGGTTCAGACCAGGACTTTTTGTGTTGTAAATGAACAGCTAAGAATAGAATCATTGAGACATAGAATTATTTGAGTTGGAAAGAACTCTTAAAGGCCATCTAATTCAACTCCCTGCAATGAGCAGGGACACCTACAGCTCCAGTAGTGCTCAGAGCCCTGTCCAGCCTGACCCTGAGTGACTGCAGGGATGGGGCATCCACCACTTCTCTGGGCAACCTGTGCCAATGCTTCACCACCCTTACTGTAAAAAACTTCCTCTTTATATCCTGTCTAAATCTGCCCTCCTTTCGTTTGAAACCATTTCTCCTTGCCCTATCACAACAGACCCTGCTGAAGAGTCTGTTCTCTTCTTTCTTACAGCCTCCCTTTTCTTACTGAAAGACCACTATCAGGTCTTCCCAGAGCCTTTTCTGCTCCAGGCTGAGCAGCCCCAGCTCTCAGCCTGTCCTAACAGGGGAAATGGAAGGGACCTCAAAGACCACGTAGTTCAGACTATGTGAAGGTATGGAGGAACATCACTGCTTGGTGTGCACATCTAACAGCATCAACAGTAGAAGCTGTGCAGCCACTCTGAAAGATGAACACACACGCATATCTATACTTAATCCCAAAAGGAAAATTGGCATGTTTGGGGTTTAAACCAGTCATGCCACATTGAACATGAGTGTGATGGCACTGAACGCTTCACACTGCCCCTGACTGCAGGTTTCCCTGGAAGCATTCCCAGGGATTAACTACAACGAGGTGCTGGCAAGACAAAGGCACGCATATACGAGTAAAAAGGTGAGAGGGGAAGCAAACTGTAGTAATTGCCTTGCAGCTAGGAATTTTGCAAGGGACTGCCTAATGCTGACAGCTTGCATGGCTCCCACACCCGGCAGCACCTCCTCTTGGGTGGGCTCAGCTCTTCACACTGCTGTGTTAAATTCAGAGTTAAATGCCTACATTTCAGACTTGTAGGGATTTGGTGCCTGGAGGCTTCTCTGCCTTTTCCAGCTGAGCCAGTGGGTCTAATGAAAAGCCATTCTTCCTCCACACATTCTTCGCTTGAGAATCTTCTTAGTCCTTCATCATGCCAGGGAAGCAGCCACTGGCAAGAGGATATTTTGAGTGCATGCTGTTTTTTATGAGCAGTTTTTAAATTAGGCGTTTCCAGGTGGCTGCCTTACAAACAACAAGAACTGCTCCGGAAGTAATGCCTCCTATTATGTTGGCCCACTACATCAGAGGTGGATATTGGTGATATGGCAGCAGAGGTCTAACCTTCCTACGAATATCCCATTAAATGTTGTTCTGTGTGACAGGTAGCAGCAGAGGGGCAGTCTGACAGAATGGCATCTGACATGGAAGTGTGGATGAAGCAAAGGTGTGTCACTGAATTCCTCCATGTGGAAAAAATGGCACCCACTGGCATTCATTGACACTTGCCGAATGTTTCTGCAGATCAAACAGTGGCTGTGAGCACAGTGAGGCGACTGGCAGTGAGTTTCAGCAAGGGCAACCACGCATCACCTCCGCTGGTACAGATTTTTATGAGCAGAGCATGCAGCCTCTTATTCATAGCTGGTGAAAATAGACAGTTAATGGTGGTGACTGTGTTGAAAAACAGTGTTTTGTAGCTGAGAATTTGCTCTATCAAATGGTGTTATTGTACTCTTTGTTTCCAATGTAGTTTCCATGTAAAAAGATAGATGGCATTACTTTTGGAGCAGCCATTGTAGGTGGTTAGGGTGATTGTATGGTGATATTTGTCAGGACAAAAGATAGGTCTGCAAAATCATACATACGTAACATAACTGTGCTAGTGGTTCATTGTTTCGTCCGTAATACCTGCAGGCTTTACATTTTCCAGAATTTGTAACCTTCACAACCATTCTGCAGAACTTCCTGACATCTCCCCTAAAGCTCTTCAGCCTTTTTTTTTTTATATTTCAAACAGTTCACCTTCTTGCACTTAAAGTCTGACCTCCATCCTGTGGGTTGTGCCCACTTGTTACGTGCCAAGGTTAACAAAGCTTTCCCCCAGTACAGGAAAAGCATGTTGCTAAATCACTGGATGCGAATTTTTCCTGTCTGTACAAACTGAAAGGAGCTATCGGATCAAATCAGTTCTTAAGTGGGAGGCATTCAAATCCCACACCTTGTGCTGAGAAAGTGTGTTTGTCACTGACATTCACACATTTCTTGTGCACCTCCCAGTCATTCCTGTCTGACTGTTCTCCTTTTTTTTCAGGAAGAAGATAAGTGTTACTTGTCCTGGCAAGCACCCGTGTTCTTAACCTTTCCTAAATGTTCTTGGAGGAACTGTACGCCGTGGACACTCTGGTCTGTGAATCAGCCTTAATGGATGGAAAATTTCCAGCTGGACTTCTAGGGAGATGTTTCAGTCCCTGCTTTTCTCTTGAGCATCTCTAGAGGAGATCCATCATTGCTGTGTAAGCACAAGCAGACAAGCTCTTGGACTATTAATCTTGACTATTAATTCTGTCGAACCCACTCAC